CCAATCTTGAACTGCTTGATCTCTCATCCAACAACTTGGCAGGAAGAATCCCAGATCAATTAGGCAACTGCATGAAACTCCGATCGTTGAAGCTTAACAGCAACAACTTCAGTGGAACCATTCCTTTGGCCATTGGTAATCTGGTGGACCTTCAAGACACGTTTGACGTCAGCCACAACTCACTAACAGGGGAGATTCCATCCCAACTCAGCAAATTGGTGATGCTGCAAAGCCTGAATCTATCGCATAATTCCTTGTCGGGTCATCTACCATCTTCGCTAACGCATATGACGAGCTTGTCTACCGTAGATGTATCCTACAATGAACTGGACGGCCCTGTTCCTGATAGCCCAGCTTTCCGAAGATACCCGGCGGAGTGGTTTGTCCATAACATTCATCTGTGTGGAGTTGTTCGAGGATTGCCTCCGTGTGTTACACTCGGTACTCCAACAACAGAGGATCGAAGCAAGCGCCACAAAATTGTTATAGTAACCATCATTGCTTCTGTGGTCTTCTTCCTTCTCTTGTTTATATTCATTGGAGCATTCCGCAAGAGAGAAAAAGATACAGTACCTGTTGATAATAATCACATCAAAGAAGGTGCATTCTGTATATTGAATTTTGTTGGAAGAGACGTATACAAGGACATCATCGAAGCCACCGAAGATTTCGATGCCACGTATTGTATCGGAAGCGGTGCGTACGGCAGTGTCTACAGAGCAGAGTTAGCAAGTGGGGAACTGCTAGCAGTGAAGAATATTCACCTACCAGACACTGAAGGTACATGCGACGAGAAACCCTTTCAAACTGAGATAAAAACTCTGACTCAAATTCGACATCGCAATATCGTCAAGCTTTACGGGTTCTGCTCCTCTCCCCGACGCAAATTTCTGGTGTACGAGTACATGGAGAGAGGAAGTCTGGGATCTGTCCTCCGAAGCGAGACTGCAGCTGAATTGGACTGGGTGAAGAGGGTGAGCATCGTGAAGGATGTTGCTCGTGCTCTGTTCTACATGCATCATGACTGCACACCGCCTATCGTTCATCGAGATATTACCAGCAACAACATCCTACTTGATTCCGAATTCAAGGCTTGTGTTTCCGACTTTGGAATTGCTCGACTACTGAAGCTGGATTCATCAAATTGGACCATGCTTGCAGGCACACGGGGTTACCTAGCACCAGGTAAGTTTCTCTCCCAGATTAATCCATTAAAGACAAATGATCCTAAATTTTGCATCCCCTACTCAGTATTATATCGAAGCATACGTAGACCTACTCTTTGACAATCGTATATATTTTGGATATCTTTATAAATTGGAAGTTTCGTTTATTTGCTGTTGCTGTTTGCAGAGCTTGCTTACACAATGAGAGTAACCACCAAATGTGATGTGTACAGCTTTGGTGTGGTCACGCTTGAATTACTAGTAGGAGCATATAGAGAAGAACTTATCTCCATTCTGTCATCGCCGTCTGGTAACAATGTCTTCGTGAAAGATGTATTAGACCAACGGCTATCTCTTCCTGTGGCTCGAGTTGCAGATGAAGTAATTGCAGTCTTAACAGCGGCACTAAGTTGTGCCAACAACAGCCCAGAATCGCGCCCAACGATGAAGCAAGTCTATGAAAATATATGTGCTGTCCAGGCACCACAGGGTTGTCGGTCTCTTGATGCGCTGAGGCTTTCCGACTTGATGAATGCAGACATATGATCGAACACACGGTCTCCTTTGTTGTTGCCTTCTTTCTTGAGGCTCGCAGGGTATTATTTGTATGTACTGTTATGCCGTGTAGGTGGTTCGGACCCTTTGGTTGTGTCATAGTGTCGTTTTCAGGCAAGTAATAGAAGCCTCATTGGAAACAGAAACAGGATCTCGAAGCTGTGATGACGCGTCTATAATAAAGTAGTTGAGATCGACAATTTTGGATGTGTTAATCATAAAATGTTAATTGATTATAGTCTAAAATTTTTTATTTCTATCTGATAGGAAAAATACTGTTGATCAATTATCAATAGTATGAAGCGGTATCATAATCTAAATTAAAATGTCGAATTTTAATAGACATTTCATAAATTAAACAAAACGTTATGAAGTGTTCGAGAAGCAGACATATTGCTTAGTTTGACACAGTTCTGTTCTTTAAAGTAAACTTCACTTTCGTTACTTGAAAAGTAAAGTTTTGTTTTTTTTTTCCCGAAACAAAAAAAAAATACTATCAACACAACGGGCTTGTCTTTGATCGGTTGCATCTTCGGGTGGGGCTTGAAATGTTGGATTTGTCTATATTATGTGCTTTATTTTTTTTTATTTTTTGATAATTTGGTGAAAAGTAATCTAAATCGAATGGTCTATTTTCTTATCAAGTTATGTTATAATTTTTATTGAGATATTCGAGTTAATTAATATGTTATTATATAAATGATAGATTTTAGGTTTGATTTCACGAAGTAACGTTATGAACATCATTTGATGTAATAATTGTCTTAATATATAGTTTTAGATAGTGCCGTTCTATTTTCTCCTTGCTTTGGAATCATGCCCAGTCGATAAGAATTGGTTGGCATACAACAGCTGTGAGATGGAAGGAATTGCTTTCTCTGAAAGTGAAGATGGATAGGAAATAGCTAATGCTATATGCGCTCGAGTTGGCTACTCTGTAGGTTTCTCACTCCACAGGAATGTGGGGTTGATGGGGTGACATATAGTGATCGATAGGGCTGACGTGGAATAATCCATCAGTAAATTATAAAAAATATGGATTAAGAAAGGATGAGTTTTTCTCTAAAGTCGGTCATTGCGCATGAGGTGTTTAACAACACGATGAAGTCCAAACCCGATGTGAAAGTAGAGTGACCTGACCAATGGTCTCAATGTCCCAAAACTATATATAGAGCTTAAGAGTTACGGTGAAACTCTTTAAAGTAATAGTGAAGTGCTCCCCAAGTATTTGTAGGAAAAGATCAATATTGGATCTCTATGATGCTTAAGTTAATATAAGCTTGAAATAGAACGATTAAAGGGTCGAAACTATTGGGCTGAAAGCCCATATTCAGCCCATGTGGGCTTTATTAGCCCACAGCCCATACCCCCTCTTAACCTAACCCTAATTAAGATTAGGGGGGTGTGGTGGCTGCATTTTAGAGGCAGATTAAAGTTATAAAAAGGCAACAACGAGGCAGATCTTGGCAGCCACGAGATTCCAAAGAGAAGAAGGAGAACAAGACAGAAAAGGAAGAGAAAGAAAGGGAAGAAGACAAGGACAACACAGAGAGACTGTTCTCAATCATCTAGCAGTGTTCTCATCTCAGGTTGGATCAAATCTACAGTAAACTCTTGTGGTTGTTGCTAGGGTTTTGGGCAAGAGATTGAGATTTGTACATTCATTATTCTCATAATGGATTATCTCTAGTTTGCCCCGTGGTTTTTACCCTTCACATTGAAGGGGTTTTCCACGTATATCTTGGTGTTCTGTTTGATTGTGTTTCCATTTTATTCCGCTGCGTATTATGGTCTTCTAGTATTTGTTTATATACAAAGGTTATTCCTCTTTTTATCCCCATCAACTGGTATCAGAGCGGGGTTTTGGTGATTTAATTTTTGTATTTGAACATGAAGGCCAGTAATATTTCTTGCATGATTAGTTTGAATGGAAATAATTGGATGATATGGAAACCAAGAATGGAAGATCTCTTGTATTGCAAAGATTTGTATGGACCTTTGCAGGGGGATAGTGCAAAACCTACAACTATGACAGATGATGAGTGGAAGAGGTTAGATCGAAAAACAATTGGGTTTATTAGACAGTGGCTTGATGATAGTGTCTTTCACCATGTTTCTACTGAAATTTCTGCATATTTTCTTTGGAAAAATTTGGAAAGTCTCTATGAAAGAAAAACAGCTGGCAACAAAGCTTTTTTGATCAGAAAACTTGTGAACCTAAAATATAGAGAGGGTGCTTCTATTGCTGAGCATTTGAATGAAATGCAGAGTATTACTAACCAGTTATCCTCTATGAAAATGTCTCTTGATAATGAGTTGCAGGCATTGTTACTTCTCAGTTCATTACCAGAAAGTTGGGAGACACTGGTGGTTTCCCTCAGTAATTCTGCACCAGATGGTATTGTCACTATGAGTCAAGTAACAAGTAGTTTGTTGAATGAGGAGTTGAGAAGAAAGAGTTCGGCAACATCTCAGAATGATTCACAAGCACTTATCTCAGAGAACAGAGGAAGGTCAAAGTCTAG